TTATACAAGCGTCCTTCATTGAAATCTTGAAGTCCTCCATATGACTCTATAGTCAACTTCTACTCATGCTAGAGGCCTTAGAGCAGTGGTTCTCAACCTGTGGGTCCCCAGGTGTTTTGGCCTACAAGTCCCAGAAATCCCAGTCAGTTTACCAGCTGTTAGTATATCTGGGAGTTCAAGGCCAAAACACCTGGGGACCTACAGGTTGAGATTTCTAGAGAGAACCACTCTATAGGTCCTCTAATGTGATTCTATGGTTAGCTTCCAGCAGAACTCCTAGAGGGGTGTTCAGGTAAAAAAAACCAAACAATTTCTTTATTAATGGTTTTTCACTTTCATGGGGTCATGTGCCCCTAACCCCAACAAATGTGGAGGGCTGACTGTATAAGCATCCTTCCTCAAACTTACCTGGGAATACCTTTTTAATGCTTATGAGTTTGACACACAGCAATGGTGGGCTACTTTCTCCTTTGGCAACATGTCAGGAGCATCTTAGGAGACTATATGGCTTTTATAGGCCTTCTAAGTTAGTAGATTCAGCTAGACAATTGGCGGCCTTTCTGATTGGCTGGGAGGATCCACATGTGGTCTACCTGGATAGCTTAAAACCATTCCTGTGTCATTCTTATTATGACTATGAACATGACTTGATAACTTGTCAGCTAAGTTTCTAAGCCACATGAAGTTGCTTCCATGAGCCTTCAACAGAGGTGGTGGTTGTGCAACCCTCAATATATTGTGGAACCATAGCTCCCAGGGTTCCCCCCACTGAAAGGCCATAACAGATACAGGTTTTAGTCTCACCATATCTGGAAAGCCTCACAAGTCTCACCTTAAAACGCATAATGAATAATGTTTTGATCTCAAGATCCCAAAAGTGAGGAGAAGAAAAGGCACTCTGCTTATATAACCCTTCTCGGCCCAAATCACAGAAATTATGAGTCCTCCATCCCTACCTGGAATTTTTAAGAAAGGCTTTAAGTAATTTATTTGGAGTGTGAGATGAGAGAAAGAGAAGAGGCTTCACTGTAATTATAGATAAGCAACCAAGCATACCATGCTATTAATGTCTGCCTGATTCTAATATAGGGAAAGAATGGGAAACTGTCCCCCTCCTTTTAATTCTTTGAACAGGCACTTTCGAAGCCTGTGACATCTTTTCTTTACAACACAAATCTCTCCTCTTTTCTCTTCCTCTCTCTATGTTGACCTCAGTAGAAAGGAGCCGAGAGTAAAGTTAGAACAGAGAACAAAGCAAGAGCCTCTTGGCAGCCTGTGGATTCTACCTTTAATGTTCCCTTTGCCCATGGCTTTGAAGCAGTGGCTATTGGCCCTTTCATATATGAAAGGAAAATGAGATGGCCTCAATGTCTGTGGAAAAGCACAGCCACCCAAAACCTGAAAGGAGAGTTTCACATTCCTGGGGGCAGGGATGACAGTTACTTGAAAGAGGTGAATTCTGGCACTGAGCCATACTAGCTAGAGAAAAGATCCTTTAGTTGGGGGGGGGGGGCTGGGGGATCAGATAATTTATCTCAGCTTATTCAGTGTATTTCTCAGAAAAGGGGACATGAAATCTTCTCCCGTGTGAGGTCAATGTCATTCCATGCTTGAATAAACTCCAGCCTCGGTTCTGTCATAATCAAGGTTAGTCGATTACATCTTGCTACTTAAGGAAGAACAGCAAATAGCATCTCATCTTCCTCCCCATTCCCAGTGTAGATGCCTAGAGTCCTTCATCCAAGGAACAAAATCACACTAGCTCCCCCCACCCCCTTCCTGACAATAAAAGTTCAATCAATTAAGTCATAATTTATGCCCTCACAATATCTACCCTTAATCAGGCATAGATCTCACCCTCCTTCAGTAGTGTGATTGGCCCTGACTATAATGTAATTCAATCAAAGTGAAAGAAGAAAGTGCAAAAGCTGGGTTGCAGTTAAACATTTTAAAAAAACCAAGATTATGGCAACATGATTGACAACTGGGAAATAGAGGGAGAAAACATGGAGGCTGTGACAGACTTTGTATTTCTAGGTGCAAAGATTACTGCAGATGCAGACTGCAGCCAGGAAATCAGGAGACGCTTACTTCTTGGGAGGAGAGCAATGACCAAATAGTGAAGAGTAGAGACATCACACTGGCAACAAAGATCTGCATAGTTAAAGCAATGGTATTCCCCATAGTCACCTACGGATGTGAGAGCTGGACCATAGGGAAGGCTGAGCGAAGGAAGATAGATGCTTTTGAACTGTGGTGTTGGAGGAAAGTGCTGAGAGTGCCTTGGACAGCGAGAAGATCCAACCAGTCCATACTTCAGGAAATAAAGCTCAACTGCTCACTGGAGGGAAGGATATTAGAGGCAAAGATGAAGTACTTTGACCACATCATGATAAGACAGGAAATCTTAGAGAAGACAATTATGCTGGGGAAAATGGAAGGAAAAAGGAAGAGGGGGCAACCAAAGGCAAGATAGATGGATGGCATCCGTGAAGTGACTGGATTGACCTTGAAGGAGCTGGGGGTGGTGACGGCCGATAGGGAGCTCTGGCGTGGACTGGTCCATGAAGTCACGAAGAGTCGGAAACGACTGAACGAATGAACAACATAATGTGATTTATGTTTATCCTCTTTCAAAATGGCTTTTAGCTCAGATAAAATATAGCTGCTCCCCATTTGACAGTACAGCAACCTTCTGTTGTGCCACTTGCATCATGCATGTTTGTTTCTGTAACAAGGGTAGTAACCTGATAAAGTCCAGATGGTTTGAATATAACTCCTACTGGGCAAGAACTCTGAAAAGAACTTTGAACAACTCAAGAAAGTTATGCTTTTGAGCTACCACCTAAAATACTCCAACTAGTATGGGAAATGTAAGCCCAAAAAACCCCCCAGCAATTTTGTCAAGTTTTGATTACAGTTCTTAACTTCAGGAAGGCAGTATGTTGTCTTCTTGCATTCTGTGCTCAGCTTTACCCTTTAAGGCAGGAGTGAGAATTATGTGAGGTCTGCAACTCCCAGAAGTTTTAGCCACCTTAGCCAATTGTGAGGAATTCTGGGAGACGGAGTCTATCATCTGGAGGACCATTCAAATTCCATTCATGCTTTAAAGTTTTGGAAAGCCTATGCCGACATCTCTCTCTATATCTACTCTTGAAGTTGCCATCAGTAAATAACAACCCACCCAGCATGCCTTCACTACTCTAGGTCAGGAGAAGAAAGTAGGCCTTAAGCCATTTTTTCACAAGGGATATTTTTTTAAAACCCATCATTTAAACTTTTTTATTGATGTCCTCAGGAAGTTTATCTACTATTTCTTCAACTATTTTAACATACTGTCATGTAATTTTGGTTGTAGCTTATTAGTTTAGCTTACTACATCTCCTTGAGAAAGCTGGAAAAGTGGCCTACAGATGCAGATAAACAATTCTCTTTAGAACCAAATGGTGCCCATCCAAACTGTTCAACTGACTGGTTTTAAAGAGTATTGTGAATCTGCATCTGCAGGCACCAGTAGTAATGGTCAGCTATTCACTCTCAATAAATAAATGGGTCATAGAGCAAAGAAAGCCTGAATCCTCCCTAGAAGCCAAGATGACTAAACTGAGGCTGTTGCACTGGTCATTATTATGAGATACCATGACTCAAAAGAAAAGGCAGTAGTGCTTGATAAAGTTGAAGGCAGTAGGAAAAGAGAGAATCCCCGTTACAGGTGAGTAGACTCAAGGAAACCAAGAGCCTGCAAGACCTGAGAAGGGTTGGAGATCCACAGTGTCTCCATAAATTGGAATCAACTTAAAGTCAGCTTAACAGCACTTAAGAGCATCAGGCAAGTCAAGACAACTGGGTATTCCCCATACATTTTCTGAACTACAGAAGAATTTTTTCTTCATTTCAGAGCTGATGTGCAACCTTTCCCCACATCTCACTAGGCTGCCGAGTGATTGCCCTGAGTTCAAAGAACAAATTTCAGTTGGATACGAATAGGAGTCTATGCCGTTTCCTTCCCTACAGGTGACTATTCCAGCAGATTGTTGAAGAGGAGGTAGAAAATGTTTGCCACTATGTTCCTTCCATTAATGTAGTTATAGAGACCTCTTCCTCTAATATGAACCCATCTGAAATGTAAATCCTCAGTGGAGGCCTGTAATGTGTTGCAGTCACCAGATGACTAACATGAAATTTGTTAATAACAATAGGCCATGTTAACCACATGAAATCATTGCTTATTGTTACAAGTTCTTCCATATCAGACATTCTGTTTGCTTCGGTACATCAGGCAGAAGTGTCTCGATGGAAAATTTATGTTTTTCTACATTTGGAACCAATCAAGATGAATATTGTATGAAGCACTAAACATTATACAAATGACTCATTGCATGCTGAGACACAGGAACTCAAAAGCTCGGTTGTGTTAAAAAAAAGTTGTAAAATGCATAGTCTTTTTTTTTCCTTTTCCCTGATAACTTTAACTACATCACTGTACTTAATTTCTGTTCCTTGAGAAGTTTTCTATTCTATAGCAACATCTAGTGGTAAATTATTTCATTGCAAAATTTTAAAAATGTGGATTTGAGAAGCATTTCCTTTAAGTGTCATGTTTACCTAAAGATATTAATATACAACTTATACCATGTAATTCTATACTTTTCCAATACACGTTTTGCAAATAGTAAAGACTCACTACTACACTCTTCATTTTCCATTTCTTCATGTATTTCCAGATTCTATGTTTTACAAGCAAAAACACCCGAAGTGTCCTGAATTACAGAGGAGAAATCTGTTTTTACATGCATTGATACAGAAATGCCTGGAGCAAAGCATGAGTCACAAAAATTCTACAACTGATGACTGACCTTTCAGGACAATTAATGAGATAGAAGGATCTTAATCAATATCTAGATAGGGTGTATGTGTCTATTGATCACTTGACATCACATGAAGGCATGTCAGCTTCTTCTCTCTCATTTGACTCTTAGAAAATGCAATACTCAAAAAACTACACACACATATGAAATTTATTAGTTTAACAAGAAAAACATAATTTGGCCAGGGGAAATAAAAAGATACAAATCCAAGGAACTCCAAGCAAAGCAGAGTGAATCTAACACATTTTAACTAGGCAAGAGAAATGGCTCACAAATAATAAAATAATGAGTGACATCATGCAGCCGATGGGGCATGAATTCCTTTCAGAGACCATCCTCATCCACCTTTACAGCTTTGGTAAAGAGGGAGAACAAGGAGTTCATGTAGGTTTTAAAAAGAAAAGAGCAGGATAAATGTTCAGTAAACATTTTTTCTTTAAAAAATCTTCCATAATTCTGCCTCATTCTGGAGTAGTCCAAATCTTCATGGGAAAAGGCACTTTCCAATTGAGAAACATTTGTGCGTATGGTCAGTGGCTCTTAAACACACCCTTCATAATTCCATTCCCGAAAGCAAACACAGAATGGACCAACAGCAAATCCTGTCCATAGAGGGAAAGGGATGCTTGGTTATCCCAGCTTTTCCTTATCCATATTTTCAAGGCTACAAAATAGAACAAGCACTGATAACAGTAAATTGCTAATCTAACCTGGTAAGAAGAATTCCTCCCCACAACTGAAAGATAAGGTGGAACTGAAATAGCCATGTTAGAATGGACACTTTTGAACAAGAGAATCACTCGGCATGGGGAACAACAGCAGTTCATTGTGTCTGGCACAAGAAAGGCTCATGGTTGAAAATACCAAACTGTTAGACAAACACTTCCACATGTCCAAAGATGGATCCTTTCAGACAGCCATAATTAAAGGAGTCGCCGTGTAACTGTCTGGGTCCTTGATCTCAGTAAACCAGTTTTGATACCTTAAAAGTGAAACAAGTGCAAATTTCAAGAACACAATTTTTCAGATCCCTTTTTCACCCTCATTTAATATCATTGGCTACAAAATGACATGCATTGTACACAAGTATGTACTTTAGAACTGGGATGAGAACTGTACAGTCCTCCAGATATTCTTTGAGTGCAACTTTTTGCATTTCTCTCCATTGATTATCCAGGGTAGGGGGCTGCTGGGATTTCCATTCCAACAACACCTAGACAGCTATTTCCATCCCTGCTTAAGAATATCAATCCTGGAAATAATCAAATAAGCAGCTGGTGTCAACATGTCAAGTCAACTATAGCCTTTTAAAAACAGTCCTAAACTTACACTTTTATAATTGCTTACCATGATTTAGGCCTTAAAACAATGTGAATGACTGTTAGAATGCCTGCCAAACCTCTACACCTTTCAATATAAATAGCTGTCCTGATAGGTTTCCAGACAAACATGGGGTCATGAGGTTGGGGGGGGGGGGGGGGGGGGGGGGGGGGGGGGTGAGAGAGAGAAATCATCTAGACAAAATACACCAGCCTAGACATCCACTTATATTGGATTTTAAGGCAATACTGAAATTCCCTTCCTCTCCATACATAAAATGAAATGCCTCCTACAATAACATTTTAAACACACAGTGACAACAGCTTCAGTTATTGTTTTTCCCTTTGCTACATTTTCAAAAAATATTCAAAATACACTATGGTGGGACAGTAACGTGATTAGTTTTTTCTCAAATCTACATCCTAATAAACTTGCCACATCTAGAAAGGATGGATTTTATGGAGTCCGGGGCACTTGAGTCTTATGGTGTTTGAAAATGGAGCTGATCTTTTTTTTTTTAAGTCCCTGGCCCCTAAATACAACCCATATTCAATGTATAACTTATGTCCCACAAATTTTACACATTTTAGCTTATATTAGACAATTCATCTAACTTAACAATAAATACATTGGAGCTATTTTTGATGGATTTGATTTTGTTAATACTTACACTTAGAATGTGATCATCAGTGAACTGATGATGCAGCTCTCCTGTGCTTATAATGGTAGTATGCCTTCATTACCACAAGTTTCAAAGGTGTCAATGTATATGTAATGAACAGAACTATGCACCAATGTATTCTTAATATTGCACTTAACAATGCTCAGAACAGTTACTTTTATGAACTCTCATTCTAGACCCTCCCAGCCAGCATAGTGCATGCCTATGCTGGCTGGGGAATTCTGGAAGTTGAAAAATGTAACTATTTCAAACTCTGGTATAGATGATATATCCAAAATCCAAAATATTGGATATATCCAAAATATTGGATATATCCAAAAACAATATAAGCCCAAACATCTGTGAAAGAAACCCTGCATCAGCCTGATGAAAACCATTTGGCAACACTGATGCATCAATAAATCAAGGTGGCAGCCATTTCTAGACATGGAATCAGATTTCTGATCTTCCAGGAAGCATCCACCTATTTACAAAACAACTGTCTCCCCACTTTCTATCTTCACATTAGTCATACTCTATCAGGGGCTGATGTAACAGAGAAATATAAGAGTAAGGATTACATTGGCTCCAACAATGTTGAACATGTTGCAAAGTTCTCAGTGTAATTTGGTCATTATTGTAAATTTCTCAAGATTCAATAGTATGATTTCTTTTAAATAAAAATATTCATTAGTCATCCACCAAGTTTTAAATGTTCATTATGCAAAAGGACATGAATCCAATATCCTACACTGTTATTGGCAGAGTTTGGCTTTTTAATTTGACAGTTTGATGAATTCTCCACCATGATGGCCAACTGCCATGCTGTCAGGTGCTTCTGGAACTTCTAGTTTAAAAAACTTTCCCAAACTCTGGGAATTGGTTAGAATTAGGGAACTGAAAAACAAACCAAAGTCGGCACAGCCAAATGCCTTATATGCTGCAAAAACACTTCAAGACATCATAATAAAAACTCATCCTCATGCTTTTTAGTTTATTGTAATTTGGTACATTTCCAAACTATATTTATGTTGGTGTCCAGAAAATTCTGCCTAATAATTATAAATATGCTTTCTTTATCAATGGTGGCTGATAGCTCCCACATCAGAAGCAGAGAATCCACTCTGAATTCTAAACTGAACTTATGGGAGCTGTCCAGTGCTGAATCTATTTGGGGGAGTGGACTTCCCACTTTGGATAACTCTTTGAACATTTGGCCCTCTTGCCTGGAAATCACGAGTTATCACTGTTGTCCAAGCAGCAAATTCAACAACGGTGAAAACCAGCAAAATTAGAGTCCTGTGGCCCTCTTTAAAGATATTTTTTTTCTGTCTTTCAAAGCAAAATCCTTGATTGGAACCTACTTATGTTTATATTCAACTCTCGTTTATAGGAACTGGTGACAAAATAAAAAGCTTTATAGTTCAACTTTTTTACTCTGAGTCCTATGTAATTTACCCAGCAAGAAACACAATAAATGGGTCAGAACTATACACTTAGTATGATGTGGTGACGGAGATCTATATTGATTCTTGACCATTGGAGGCCAATTTATCTTTTGGCTTTCTGTTCTTTGGTTAATTCCTGAACAGCCTCTCCCCAACTACATCATTTAGGAGGTTGTAATGTGCTCATTAGCCTTTTATCATATAGAACAGAGGTGAGGAAAGTGCAGCCTCTGGTTGGCATACACCCCTAAGATCATTTTTTTGTTGTCCCTTATTTTGTTGAAAAATTTCATCTAGAAGCTCTAGGAGGCTTTATTTCCTCTTATAGGAAGGGAACCAGAAGTGGAGGATATTACTAAAAGAAAAAAGAAACATTGGGTTGGGGTGCTACCTGTTGTGGCCAATGCAGCACCCCAACCCCCCTCCATCCCTAATTCAGAAGAATACAGTCTATATATTCACTTTCCCCCTTTATGATATTTTAGGGCTAAAGACACTTAACTCATCTAATCTGATTTCTCACATTTTTTCTTTAATTAAAAAAAGAATGTTATGGGCTCAGCAGAGAGAGAGTAGGATAGTTATAGTGGGTTAACCCTTTTTTTCCTTGTGCAACAGCGTTGATTGAAAATGACTTTTCGGGGAGCTACTATGAGCAATCAAGGGAGAGAAAGGACATCTGCCAATTTACACTTTTCTCTCTCCTATTCAAAAAATGCTAACAGCTTCAGTGGAAAGAATTAATTTGGAGAACTGCAACAGTGTACATTTTGCACAGATTGGAATAAATTCATAAAAGCTTCATTGTGTGAGAGAAAAAGGTGAAGCACAGGAATTCTAGCATTTCTATTTTGGTTTTCCCTTGGCTGTGAAAGAGTGTAGGTTTTTTTAGTTGTTTCTTCACTTAGTACTGAACAATCAGATTTCTTGGTCAGATTTCACATCTAAATTCATTACAAAGACTCTCATTAAAAAAAACTCCTGTGGACGGTACAACATGAGTCTTGCTACTATTGCAAGCCAGCTTCAGTTCAATGGTTCCTGGCCCTATTGCTGAGGTCAGTTTGATAGCAAAATGCAAAACCAGAACACAAAAAGCATATAGAGAAAAACAGGGAACTGCTAAGGGCTTTTTGCTCAGCCCCACAATGAACCCACGGTTTCTTCTGAATTATTATTAACCTCTTTCTTGGAATGAAGTCTGGGGATTAGCTACTGAGGTCACGGTTTTCCAGAATGACATTCAGAATATGCTTCAGTTGAGTGAGACGAGCCTTCAGGGAGGTGTCAGAGAAGAAGGACAACTTGCGGGTTAAGTCAAGAGGCAAGATGGAGATAAGCCACCAACACCAAACTGGTCCATCTGGAAATGCCTACAAGAAAACAGGTAAACTCATTGTGCCTGGCATTTCACACACAAAATAAATAACAATGTTTCATTACTGCACTAGAGCTACCCAGGAAACTGGTTAGGGTTAGTTGCCTGGAGGAAACTGATGGCGACCAATTCAACAACACCAAGCTTCAGTACACTACCAGATAGTGTAAATTGTTTTAGCCATGTATTTAGAACCCATCATCATATACTCGTGACTCTATGTCTTTTGAAACACTGAAATGAGCTTTTTCCACTGAATGGCTCACATCTACTAACTAATATGAAATGATAGGGATAGCACACAAGGTAACATTGCTAGGTCTACAAGAAAAGAGCAGCACAGCTTACAGTGAAACATGACACAGATTCTGTATCTTCTCTGCACTACTGCATTTATTTTGTAGTTGCTTTTGGGAAGCTTGTTCATTGAGAGCTAGGTAGGTATATAGAGTAGGGTTGTCTTTGTTTACTTTCTTGCACACAAGCTCATCCAAGCCTAAAGCCCACTTTGACACATCATCATCACCACCACCACATTATATGTGTAGTGCAGGGGTCCTCAAACTAAAGCCCGGGGGCCGGATGCGGCCCTCCAAGGTCATTTACCCGGCCCTCGCTCAGGGTCAACCTAAGTCTGAAACGGCTTGAAAGCACACGACAACAACATCAATCCTATCTCATCAGCCAAAAGCAGGGCCACATTTCCCATTGAAATACTAACAAATTTATATTTGTTAACATTGTTCCTCATTTTAATTATTTTATTGTTTTTAAGTGTTTTTTTAGACTACAAATAAGATATGTGCAGCGTGCACAGGAATTCATGTTTTATTTTTCAAATTATAATCTGGCCCTCCAACAGTTTGAGGGACTGTAACCTGGCCCTCTGCTAAAAAAGTTTGTGGATCCCTGGTGTAGTGCCTAGACAGAGAAAGTATACTAAGTAAGGCTATTCTAGTAAAACGTCTTGGCACTACTCTTATCTCTTTGGGAACAGATGAACACTGTTGAACACTGGGCATTTCCTCAAGTTGAATAACTTGCATAGTCTAACAATATAACTCCACCAGATTTCAATGCTTTTACAGCTGCCTTTTTTGTCTCACTGCCATTTTATGGTCACTTTCTCACAGATGTTATACTGAGAATTTTTGTAATGAAGTGCAATTTAACAGTAATCATAGCCATCCAGCCAGGGCTAAAATCTTCAAGGCAGAGTTCATCTTCACAATTCAAAATAGGGCTAACTGCTCAAAACTGACGAGGGAGAAAAACTTTCAAACAAAAGATTCAAAATAAGGTAAGACAGTCTTGCACAACAAACTTGGCCTTCCACATGTTTTGAACTTCACCTTCCAGAATTCCTGACCATTGGGCAAGCTGGCTAGGGTTTCTGGGAGTTGGAGGCACAAACACCTGGAGGGCCACAGGTTGTGCAGGCCTGTTGTAAAAGTATGATTTGCAGACTTTATGCTATTAAACAAGACAATTCTATAATTAATCAATCAATCAATCAATTAATTAATCAACCTCACTAGGAAAGCAGGACTGGAAAGACAAGGAGTCTGCCAATTGCAACATTAACAACCATGTTCCCAGAAAACAGCTGTTGAGTCTGAGAAGCATTTCTCCTCTAGTAATACATGTGCACATACACAAATTTTATAAAGACAATTAGAAATCCTTTTAGGGCTCTCTCCTGTTGCTATAACATAATAGAAAAAGAAGATAAATGGTTTCCTGGCAAATGCCCAAGTGTCTATTCAATATTTACAGAGTACAAAAAGAGAGAGAACACATCTCCAAGGAAAAAGAGAAAGGAAGGCTTAATTGCATATACTCGGCACATGATAGTTTATACAATTTTAGAATGGTTACATTATAATTCTCATATCGATAAGGGATATGTTCTATACTCCTAGCCAATGTGGATATCTGAAAGCATGGATAATAGCAAGCCCTATATTTTGACTCTACTTGAGGCAAAAGCATATCATAGAATGGCACTGAAGGACCATCTCCATTTCTAGGCTGAAGAGCTGGTACTGTCCATAGACACCTCTAAGGTCATGTGGCCGGCATGACTGCATGGAGTGCTGTTACCTTCCCACAGAAGTGGTGCCTATTGATCTACTCACATGTGCATGCTTTTGAACTGCTAACACCTGTTAGGCCCAGCGGGAACTAGACCTAACAGCAGAAGCTCACCCCACTTCCCAGATTTGAATTTGTGACCTTTCAGTTAGCAAGTTCGGCAGCTCAGTGCTTTAACTTGCTGCACCACCAGGAATGGTGGAGGACCAAGAGGTTCACAATTACTTCCAATTACTTCCAGAAGGAATCCTTTATTGAGGATTCCTGAGGAGGAGGAAGGGGAAGTGAACCCATGATAATGAATGTGTGGATAGATAAGGGGGTCACACTGTACTTGTATTTTAACCTAGTAGGGAAGGTTATAATCAATTAGGCCATCTCTGCTGAATGGCTGATACCAGCTCATGGGCGATTTCTAAGCTTCGGCTCTCCTTTGTATGATGCTGAACAGCTCTTCAAATAGACGACTGCCTTCTGAAAATCAGCACACTTGGTCATCTCACTTTCATTTAAGTAGAGCAGTCCAAAAATGTTTATCCATGTACTTAATAAATATGCCTGATCTAGGCATTAACCTAATCAATACTGAAATTTATATTTAGAGGCTATCTTCAATTAAAAGAAATAATTGTAAACTTGCATTTTACTTTTTAAACTTCTTACAAATTTATTGAGTGCAGCATCATAAACTGCTGGGGACATACTCAACTTATATGGTGCATAAAAGAAAGAAAAATCCAAAAACAAGAACACAAATGAGAAAAATAAGTCCTTTTTTTAGCAGCTTGACTCAGACAGCTAAGTTCCCAGGCAATAATTTAGAAATTGTCTCTTGGGAAGCTGGGAAAAATGCAGCACTGTGTTTCTAGAAAAAGAGATTTTGAATGTATCTATTCATTTATTTAGCAGTGTGCTCATATTTAAACCAAACTCTTGAAATAGATATGTGCAGGGAAGGTCTGATAAAGATTGCAAACTAAACAGAGGTTTGCAATCCCGTTGAGACCAGTACAGAACAGCTTCATCTTTCTATGCAACTATTCATAATCGATCCAATGTAGTCAAAAATTACACATGGCTCAAAGGTGCTTTACTGCCCCAATGTGACAAATAATAAGTAGACAATTTTGTTCAGTTTCCATAGATACATTACTTTGATGAAAGGGCAATTTAGTCATCATGGAGAATTCCTTTAAAATCCTATATAAAGAAACGAGAGGAACTATTTGATACTTTCCAGATGTTAATATCAAGTGGGTTTTTTTGTATATAAGTGAATTTGAACTAGATCAAGTTGCTCTTCATTCTTTTCTATGTGTGTTATTTCATCATTATTACATTATTTTCTACACAAATTGGTAGATGCCTGTGGAGTTAAGATACTGGGCCATACAGAAACCTGATAAACACGACGAATACAAAGAGCTACAGATGATGTTTTAGAGTACTGTTACTCAAACTGTGTCCTTCCAGGTGTTTTGGGCTCCAACTCCCAGAAATCCCAGCCAGTTTACCAGCTGTTGGGAACTATGAGAGCTGAAGTATAAACTTCTGAAAGAGCAGTTTGAGAAACTCTGTTTTAGAGGAAGGAACAGTCAAAGCCATCTCTGAATATGTCTTGCCTCTGAAGTTTATTGAAATGATAATCACTGCACCACATTTAGCTGTGTGAAAAGCATTCCTATAGAACATGGGCAGCTGTCCTTTATAGGATCCTAGAAAGAACACTGTAGTTTAATAATGTAAACACTAGACTACAACTGTGGAGATTGGGGTTTGACTTCTTGCTTAGCCATGAAAACCCACTAGGCAACCTTGGGAGTGCCACACATTCTCCATCCCAGAAAATCCCATGATAGGTTCAACTTAGGGTTATGATAAGTGGGAAATGATTTGAAAGCACATATCAAAAACAGAGAGAACAACACTGATACCTGTATATCTTCCTCTTTCTCAGGAAGGGGTCCATGGTGCATCAAGAGTTGTCGGAAGGTGACATCCCCATGGTCATAGAACCTCTGTGTTAGGAGGTATGTATAATCATGCAAACTCTGAAGTTCAGCCAGTTCTTCTCCTTCCACCTGTACCAAGAGATCAGTAGATACAAGAAGTCAAGGAGAGAGTACAGAGTTGAAGTGTGAACTGTGTGCAGGAATTGAGAGTAAAACAAAGTGATGGGAATAAAGAAACATCAAAGCTAAATATTCACATGTGGCTTCATATAAAGTGATGGTGCTATCCATGTGCTCCCCGCAAAATAAAATGTAAAACAAGCAGAGTACTCCTTTTTATTAAACTGAAATTGTATTTGATGATCTGCAGCTGCTGGATAGATGCTGGATCAAATAACCTGGGCCACAGCTAATTTTCATTAGTTAATTTGTATCATTTCAAAATTTCAAAATTCATTATAAGTCAGTTTACATAATCATTGTTACATCAGCTGCTCGAAGATGAGTTTTAGGTGGCTGTCAATGGAAGCAGAACAGATAAGAGCTATCATCTTACTTATTTTTGTAGATGTTAGCAAAGTCAACCAAGTGTAAACAAGTTAACCAACAGGGACCAATTTTCAACAGTGATGCTGACAGTTAATGTGATACTTCAAATGTATTTACAGAGAGGCATTTCCTTCAAACAGCAAGTTCCAGTGAATAAAGGGACAACAAACAGTGAGGAAATGAGTTTGTTTATTTCACAGCTAGTCTTCTCCCATCAATATCTAAAAAAAGGCCGGGTAAATGCATAACATTTAATTAGTTAAAAATTTAGAAATTAGCTAAAATTCATTAGGCAGTTTGACAGCAACTTGGTTGCTTTGCATCTCTTCTACTTTAAAAAGATGCATCAGCTTTTGCAGCATTTCATGACCTGGCGACATAACACACATGCACACTAAGGTAGGTTATCTGAACACATAGTTTTCCTGACATGCCAAGTTTCATTAACTCAATAGTATATGACTCACATTGAGAACCAGCATATTATAGTGATTTGAGTGCTGGTCTTGGATTCTAGGAGACCAAGGTTCAAATATGTGCTCAGTCATAGCAACCCACTGAGACAAGTGTTGCTCTCAGAGGAATGCAAAGACAAAAACTTCTGAATAAATCTCCTCCCACCAAAAAAAACCTCCTGGGATTGAAAAAGTTACAACTGATGTAGAAGTGCATAACAGCAACAGTGTACATTTGCCTAATGAAACCAGATGGAGCTCCAGCTGCGATTTCTGTGGGAGAGCACACCAGGAACCCCTCACCTTCTCATCTTCTAGGTACTCAATGTCAGCTGTATTATAGCCATCCCTGTGCCCACGTCTCAGAACCCGAAACCTTCGCTTGCCAACAGTGTCCACAAAAGATCGTCCGTCAGGCAGAAACACTATCTTCTGAATTTCCAACATGCAGCCATAGTCAGCAAAACTGAAGCAGAAAATGAAAACATACTTGAGAAGGGATACACTGATAAGTCACCTTTTACCATTTTTGATGGCTCAAGTAGTAAATGCTATCTTAGACAAAAAGGGATTTGCATACAAAGATAAATAAAAACAACATAAAAATTCTACACAAAATAAATGGCATATTAAAAGTTAAAGTACAATACAATTAAACATGTTAAATATAAACAACAATACTATAATTAGGTTAGATCAGATAAGAGCATTCAAAGAACAATCAAATGCAATACCAGCAATAAATCTTGCCCAAATTTTCATTGCTAACAAGACGAAAAGAAAAACTTTGCAAATTACCATAGGTTCAGTTTCAGACATGTGACAGAATTTTCTTCTGAAACATTAGGATAAAAATAAAGTAGAATAAATCCCAAGAATTTGGTTCAGAATTTAATGAGCAGGTGAACAAATAAAGGGGGAAACCTTTAACTTCCGGGGCCTTACAAAAAAAACAGAGGGCCAAAGGGTATGAAAATATTTGCAACTGATCATAACTGCAGGCAGGTTTTTAAGATGGACTCAATTACTGGGCTATTCTCTATTCTATGGATCAGAAGCAGGCAACTTTGGCAAGTCCAACGTCAATTCTTACTTTAAGGGCTTGTTGCAGACCCATTGATCTCCCACTACCTACACTTGGCAGCGGAGTGTCATTAGATATGGGGAAAAAAAACCTCCAGAAGGTGTGTGCACCACTACATCATATTTCACAGAGGAAATGCATTTTTGTGACTCCTGCACTACCACCAAATGATGGAAATGCATTTTTGTGACTCCTGCACCACCAATACTGCATCCAAAGAAGCGAGTTCATATTCACAAAAAGCTGATGTGAAAATAAAAACTTGTTAGTCTTAAAGGTGTTGCCATATTTCACAGTGTATTGTCCACACTACTGGGGAACAGAGGAGAACGTGCTCCATCCCAGTTTTCACTTTCAGGCTATGTATTATTTTGTTGCAAGGAGTATGTGGAAGGGAAGATTTCCATAAATATGAGGTGGAAAATCTGATTCCATCCACATGTAATAAAAGTGGGAAAACAAAAATGGGAGCAGAATGAAGTGCTTGAGAAATTGTTTTGAGTACTGAGCTGACCTGAACCTCCTGGATTCAATGAAGGTAAAAGAACTCCCAAGTATTGGGATGAGCCAGGCCACAACCCACTCCCTCCTTCCTTGCCACTCACCTTTTCCCATTTTCATACATACACATGCCAAACATCTTTGTGCCAGTGTCCTGACATCTACGCATCATGAGACGATAACGGGGTTCAAACACATGAAGAGGGCACAGAATGCCAGGAAATGACAATGTGCAGACAAAGATGGGGATGTTCTTGGTCAGACTACAAAAAAGAAGAAGAAAAAAGATGATTGCACATCCTCAGCATGGACAAGGAGTAATACAAGACAGAAGGAGTTATTTATTTAAGAAAAGGAGAGCAATAAGGATAACCAGAGTTAGTGAAGTCCTAAATAAGGTAACCTTACTGTGATTTTGTACTGTGTTGTTGATACTGGTTGTTAACCGCTCTGAGTCACCTGATGGCTGAGAAGAGCAGTATACAAGTGAAGTAAATAAATAAATAAATAAATAAATAAATAAATAAATAAATAAATAAATAAATAAATGATGGAGAGGAGAGTACTGAAAAGGGTAATGATGGCTGTCTCTGTGATGTCTCGGCCTAGGTTTTACCTCTCTGTTTGTTCCCTGTAGTTGAACTGTTCCATTTTGCCAAGTTTAGGGGAGAAGCTTAGGTTCCCCCTAGAGTCCGAGCTCAGTTGGTGCAGCCCATTCTGACTCAGAGCCAGAATGGGCTGGTGATAGAACTTATGGCAGTGTTTCTCAACCTGGGGGTCGGGACCCCTGGGGGGGTCGCAACAGGGTGTTGGAGGGGTCGCCTAAGACCATCAGGATACACAGTATTTTCTGCTGGTCATGGGAGTTCTGTGTGGGAAGTCTGGCCCAATTCTATTGTTGGTGGGGTTCAGAATGCTCTCTGATTGTAGGTGAACTATAAATCCCAGCAATTACAACTCCCAAATGTCAATGTCTATTTCCCCCAAACTCCCAACAGTGATCACATTTGGGCATATTGAGTATTCGTGCCAAGTTTAGTCCAGATCTATCAGTGTTGGAGTCCACAGTGCTTTCTAGGTGAACTACAACTCCTAAACTCAAAGCCAATGCTCATTTAACCCTTTATGCTTTGCTGGTCATGGGCATTTTGGTCAATTCCATCGCTGGTGGAGTTCAGAATTTGATTGTAGGTGAACTATAAATCCCAGCAACTACAACTCCCAAGGTCCAGAGAATGAAAATACATCCTGCCTATCAGATATTGATATGATGATTCATAACAGTAGCAAAATTCCAGTTATGAAGTAGCAACAAAAATAATTTTAGGGTTGGGGGTCACCATGACACGAAAAACTGTATTAAAGGGTCGCGGCGTTAGGAAGGTTGAGAACCACTGACTTATGGCATTCGTTGTTGGTCATAGCTTATAGATAGCTGCCAGATAGTGTCTGGTCTGGCCTAGCAATTTGAACAGGCCATCCTTATCACATATTTGCCTTATAGATAGATAGTTCATAGATAATACATATTTGCCATAGAATAGTTATATTTGCCTTATAGATAGTTCATATACATGTAATAGAATAGTTATATTTGCCAAAGTTTATAGATTATAGATTAGAATATATTTGCCTTATAGATAGAGAGTTCATAGATAACACATGTTTCATAGAATAGTCATATTTGCCAACGTTTATAGATTATAGAATATGCCATAGTTAGTAGTTATATTTACCTCATAGAAATTATAGTTGTTACCTCAGAGTTTATATTTCACTATTCAAACTGCACTTTTATACCTTGATTATTTAGTAAACAATTGTTGAATTTAATCTTGTTTGTACAGTTTTATTTTGGGGGAATTACAGTAATTAGGGCATACCGATGGTCACTGGGAAAATAGCCAGACACATTTCGTTTTCTCCCTAATCTTCCCAGTGTGCCATCATAGTCTCTAAATATTATGTATCACCTGAAAGAGCATGCTTCTTTTCTGCATCTGCAAATGGTAGAATTGAAAATGATGGAATCAAGTTACAAGCAAAGTGATTCCTATTAAACATTAGCAAGGACATCCTGAAATTCATTCTAAGAGAGGAAGAGGAAATTCTTTTGAAGGAAGTGGATTATTCTTATCTAAAGGTTTTTAAACAGAAATTAAATGAGTACAACTAAGGGATGCTTTAGAGATTGGACTAAATGGCCCTGGGTGGGTACCTTCCAAAAATAAATGTGATACTATGACCCATTTGTATTTCTGAATTGATATGCTTAATGTATTGCTGATTATTTTTTAGCCTGAATGATTTCCTCAGATTTCATGGCTGTCCTTATTCAACAATATATATATCTAATCTATCTATCTATCCTTTAGGGGGTCCTCATAAAGTCTCTTAAGCAGCGGTACTCAACCTGTGAGTGCCCAGGTATTTTGGCCTACAACTTCCAGAAATCCCAGCCAGTTTACCAGCTGTTAGGATTTTGGGGAGTTGAAAGGCCAAAACATCTGGGGACCCACAGGTTGAGAACCACTGCTCTAAGGGTGCATCTACACTGCAGAATTAATGCAGTTTTATACCACTTTAACAACCCTGGCTCAATTTGGTGAAGCACCAGCACTCTATCAGAGAAGGCTAAAGGCAGATCTGGCCAGGGTTGTCCATGCCTTAGTCACCTCTAGACTGGATTACTGTAATGCACTCTACATGGGGCTGCCCTTGAAAATGGCTCAGAAATTCCAGATGGTCCAGCGGGCAGCAGCCAGGTTGTTAACCGGGGCTCCTTACGGGGGGCGGTCAACCCTCCTGTTTAAGGAGCTCCACTGGCTGCCATTCATTTTCCGGTCCCAATTCAAGGTGCAGGTTCTCACCTACAAAGCCCTGAATGGTTTGGGAACCGCCTACCTTCATGACTGCATCTCTGTATACGAACCCACACGATCTCTTCAATCATCGGGAGAGGCCCTGCTCACGCTTCCACCTGTATCGCAAGCGCGATTGGTGGGGACGAGAGAGAGGGCCTTTTCGGTGGTGGCCCCTCAACTCTGGAACTCACTTCCTAAGGACATCAGGCATGCCCCAATTCTGGCAGTCTTTAGGAGGAGCTTGAAGATGTAGTTGTTCCAGTGTGCCTTCCCAGAATAATGATCCATAGCACTTTGTCCTCCAAAACACTTTATATTGTTTAGGTCTGCTTGTATGTTTCCACAAACTGCCCCATCACTTTTTCACCCATGTCCAGCATTATTTTTTAATTTTAATTACATTTGGCCTACCCATAGATTTTAAAGTGTGTTGTCCTATTGATAATGCTTATGTTATTGTTTTATTGTTTTGTAGTTTTTAAATTGCTGTTTTCTTGTTGTTATTGCTTGTATTGTTGTATTTTGGGCTCGGCCTCATGTAAGCCACCCCGAGTCCACTGGGGAGATGGCAGCGGGGTATAAATAAAGTATTATTATTATTATTATTTTGCAATACATCCCCATAATTCTTTAGCATTGAGCCATGGCAATTAAAGTGATGTCAAACTGTACTAGATGCACACAAAGGCATGGTTGCAAACTAATACATTCTGACCTGGGAAGAAATCTCACTAAGTTCCATGAACTTACTTCTAAGTAGACAAATGTGCCAAATAACAGTGAGTTGACATTCCCCCCTTGTTTGGTTAAAAGCTTCCAAAAGAGGAGACTCTATCACACTATGAGGCAGCATATTCCATTATTGAACAGCTCCTACCACCAGGAACATAGGAAACACTTGTGGACAGTAAGAGCTGTTCAACAGTGGCATATGTTGCCTTGAAGCATGGTGGTGTCTCATCTGGAGGTTTTTAAACAAAGACTGGATGGTAATCAGTTGAGAGTGTTTGATTGTGTATTCTTGCATGGCAGAATGGGGTTGGACTAGATGGCTCTTGTGATCTTTTCCAACTCTATGGTTCTATTATTCTGATTCTCCACACTAACACATACACAAACATTCCACACATTCAATTCCAAATACTCTGTTTACTTGGAAAGTTCAGCCATTTCAGCCTGATGGATCAGTTTCCTTTCTGCCAACTGTGAAGGGAAAACTGCTTTCATGAGCTCTTCCAACAGAACGGTGATGTTGTATTTTCCAGCCCTCAGGTACTAGAAGAAATTAGAGATAAAGTTTGTTTCAAACAGAAAATGAAGTTAATTACTGTATATAATTACGCAACTTTACTTACTTACTGAATAAGTAATTATGCATCATGGCATATTTCTTGTTTCCCCTTTTTTTAAAAAAAAAGTCTTGCCATCTGGTAAACCCATCTTAGAAGACAAATTATTCAAAGAAATAAACAGCATGCCTGAACAAGGTCTTCAAAACTCCAGGTGTTGTTATTCTAGGTTTTTTTTCAACAGACCTCTAATCTACACTGCAAAAAATTTACACTTTTCACCTGCAGCAATTGCAACCCATAGGAAATGTTCGGTGGGCTCAACTATTGAATTGAGAAGCTTTGGGTTCAATTGACTCAATTATAAAGGACTAGATTCAGACGCTCTGGGTTATTTAATGTCTGGCTACACAACACATGAAAGATATCAAAGGTTGTGCAAACATTGATTTCTTACAAATTGGTATCTAGTTGGTGAGCATGCATCCCAGAAACAAACCCTTCAAAGATCATTGTAAGAATTTACTGGCCTACTGAACTTAAAGGAGTTTGTTATTCTGTGTTCTGTGTATCCTAACTAAATATGCTGCGATTGTTTTCTTTAATCTTTTTCATGTCGTTTAGCTCATGAAACTCCCTTTCAAAGGAGACTTGGAAGGGAGTATCATGAGCTAAACATAACATGAAATAGACTCTGCTTTTTCATTGGCAAGCAGTCTTTCCTCTTCAAATAAAGCTTTAACTGGTTTGGATAGATGGGCAGCTGTGGAAGGGTAAGTTAGCCCCACAGGAGGGCACAGCACATCCTACTGTACTCAACTCCTACAAAGGCAGAATCCAACATCTTCCATTTAGAAACAATTAATTCACACTTGCTGCTGAGTTCATTTGTGAGCCAGATTCCTCTTTCCTACCTCTCGGAGGCTCTGTTTGCAAAGCGGGCAGTTTGGCCGATGGTCTAGGCAGCGCTCCACACACTCTTTGCAAAATGTGTGTCCACAAGGTGTAGTTACTGGCTCAAAGAACAGGCTGCAGAACAAGCAAAAAAAAACCCATTGCCTATTAGGGAAATGCTGAATTTAAAAACAACAGTGGAAAAATCAGTAACTATATGTTATATCAGCAGATATTTAAAATGCCCCCATCTATGCTGAATAGTAGACTATGGAAATAGTAATTCAAAGAGGAATTTCTCTAAGCTCTTAATATAGAAGTATGTCCCCTGTCCTTTGGGGGAGTGGAAAGGGAATGTAAGTACAAAGACCAAAAAAAATCCCAGATTTTTGTTTCTGATTTTATATTTGGTTAAAATAAACTAACCTGGAGATTTATTATAAAGTTACCTGGCTATACGAGGAGCTGACAGAAAATATTGTTGGATAAACAAAATGTGCTCCAAAATAAAATTGGAAAGAAGAAATCTGGGACTTTCTTGCCTTTTAAATCGGATTTGATGTGTACTGTATGAATGTAGCAAGAAATGAGAGGAAAGGGGTTCTCATCTCAAAGACAAGAGAGATCCTAAACAAAAGATCAATTTTCAACTGTCTGGATATCCAATATTTTAAATTAACATCTCTGTATGACTGCTATAGGCAATCTAAGGGCTAGTAAATTGGATGCAGCACTAGTCATCGCAAACTGAGCAGAACAAATTTACTAGCTGGCTGGATGCCATCTTTTCAGACTCATCGTGGACAATACTGTTCAGGGATTATGAGAGTTACAAAAAAACAACTTTTTCATCTGTAGTGAACACATACAGGTATTTCTTATTCTCTCTTAAAATGAGAATAATATTAATCCCAAAAATCTATAACTATTCATAAAGCAGATTGTAAGCACTACTCCCCTCTGTCCAAAAAACCCTTACATTAGACGATAGGATTCCAAGATTTATATAAGGTAAGAGAAGATAGCTACCATGAAAAAGTCACATCTGTCACTACAAGCTAAAAAATACTGGCAAAAGTGAACACATAACTAATGTCTTATTAATCCTTGGAAGGTCATGACAAGTGTGTGCCAGCTCTAACTCATGAACAATAATGAAATAAATATTTCCTTTGCAACAAGTCAGGGAACTTAAGAAGAGCACAGTATCACGCTGTTCTATACTGCACATAGGCTAAAAATTAATTAACACAATTGAGAGGACATAAAGGCAAGTGAAACCATAGACTTGATGAGAGAACCATGTCAGACCCTTTGCTGGTTTACATCTTCAATGAACCACTGACACTAATACAAACTAAAGGATATTACCTGGTACAACAGGCCATTTTCATGGTGTTATGTATGCTATGCACCATATTTATATCCTGATTATTCCATGAGAGAGGTGTGTGTACACAATCTCCTGCTGCCCTCAAAAAGAATTTTAATATGTTTTTCTATAGAACTTGCCTTCTATTTTGTAACAGCATGAGACAATATAGAATATGTGCCAGACCTTGAAAAGAATTCAGCAGGAGATCAAAGATCTGTCCAATCATTTTAGCTTATAAAAATAATGTCCTTTTATTTAACTGGTGCCTCCCGCCATGAGTGAGTCATTTAAATTTATCCGTGGATTTAAACATCACATGCTTTGAGGGAAAATGCTCACAACATTCAAGGGCAGCACATGTTTTTTTTTAATTTAAAAAAAATGAAGCATCACTGATGTGGCAGAACTAGACGAAGTTCACTTTGGACCATAACACCCAGAATTCCCAGTGCCCACTCTGGTTTGAAAAGCATCTGGGAATAATAATAATAACAACAACAACAACAACAACAATTCATTGGAACTTATGTCACAACTACCACCTGCCAGCAGTAAAGAATTGATAGGATCATAAACCTGTAAAGGTAGTGGAAAATGAACACACAAAAATGCTGTGGGACTTTCAAATCTAGACTTGACAAAGTTTTGGAACACAATACACCAGACATCGTAATTGTGGAAAAGAAAAAAGTTTGAATTATTGATATCGTCATACCAGGTGACAGCCAAACTGACGAAAAACAACAGGAAAAACTCAGCCATTATCAGGACCTCAAAATTTCATTTGCTGTGACATACTGTGTTTTTGTGTCAGAATAATAATAATAATAATAATAATAATAATAATAATAATAACTTTATTTGTATTCTGCCCTATCTGCCCTAGGGGTCTCAGGGCGGAATACAAATAAAGTTTTATTATAATCCCTAACAGTAATTCTTCCAAGTTCTGAGCCTGATTTGCAATGCCAGATGGCAATGCTCAGACAGTATAATGTATGGAGAGTCTACTGAGTCATCACTCCCAATGGCATTCCAGGCTAAGTACTAGGCTAACTATTATCCTCACCATTGAATCATGTGCCCTCTAGCATTTCTGTAGCATTTGCTGGACACTTCACACTGAGACACTTCACAGAAAGCACCATATTGTCTTCCGACTGCCATAGTGGATGGAAGGAAGTTGCACAAACCAAGCAGTGCACTATGGACCAATGCCCAAGTGTATCCATTAAATATGCAAAGACTAAATATTCTACAGAAATGTACCATGATAAATGTATGGCTGGCCTCTAACCCATTGTTTCATGTTTTGCATCAGTGAACCCATCTTAAAATAACAATACCAAGTGTCCACAGGTTATGAATTCATCGTCCGTTTTCAATTAGCACAGACAATTAAAAGAATACAGCAGATATTCAGGAAAGAATTAAAGAGCTTAGGACTATCCTTGGAAGGTCAGGACTAAGGAAAATTAGGAAATGAAAGTGGTAAAGATAAGTTGCTAGCCTGTCTTTTCCACTGTTCTTCAAGTGATCATAAGTGCAAGGTCTGTGCCTGTGTATGGCCAAGCAAAGGAGGTACAAAGAATGCCCATATGTGAGACCTTTATAATGAGGAGAAGCATAGCTTGATTAAGGGCAGTGAGGCCATAAAACTCCAAAATCAGGAAACTACATCATTTACAATATTTCTCCTTATTCATGGATGACCAAAAATACTTTTTAAAACCTTTTTTATCAAGAACAACAGCGGGAACTAATAAGGGAAAAGGAATGGGAAGGAAAATGCTTGTAAAACAAACAGTAGAGAAGTAGAGAAATGACTACCACAGCATCCAGTTTGGAGAGTATGGTATAGGCTACCATCAAAATCTTAGCTAGCTTGAAGATCCCAAACAAATGTAGACCTATGTCTGTTATGCCCATGACCACAATGAAGGACAAATATATTCACTTGTAACTTGTCCTAATAATAGCATGACAGGAATTATTCCATGAAATAAAATACTTGATCAAAGAAGAATCAATACAGACATTGGAACTAGGTTCATATTAGTGGCTACAGATTTCTGAACTCAGAATACATTAACCATGTGCCAAATGTATTCATTTTTATTCATTCACCATAATGTTTTGACTGCTCATAATAACAGTGTACAAGGCTAGATACCTGAGGACAACAAATTGCACTCTGATCTGTTAAGTAGGGTTAGGCCTGGTTAGTACTTGGATAAGGAACTGCCAGAGGATATGTTTTAGGCTATAGTTGAGAAAGCAGCAAGTGAAAAGTCACATGTCTTTACTCAAAGGACTGATTAGCAATAGTCTAGGGGTTGTTAAGTACCTCATTGAGGGGTTTTGGAATTGGAAGGTGACACATTAAAGCTTTCTACAAGGTGCCAAGTATACTCTTAGTTATTCAAAAAAGTCCTTAGATGGCCAATGTGTCTGTGACATTAAACAGATTGTTCTGCATCCAACAAATCATCAACTTATTCATTTAATGTTAAGACAACAGAAGGGCACAGAATGATCTCCGATAGACCAGATGAGAATATGATGTCCAAGGCCCAATACTTGATAAAACTGCCTTCTCATTCTGAGTTTCAATGTTCAAAAAGAAATGGCTGCATTATGAAAAAGGGGAGATCACAGTTCAATCCTTATGAATCAACTAAAAATATATTCTCCATGTGGTATAACAGAATTTACTTCTAGAAAATAATGTGCAGCACTGAAATCTCAGATATTCAGAGACACTATTAAAAATCACCATAAGCAGCAGCTGCTTTTTCCACCTGTTCTATGTGGAATTCTTCATCAGGTCTTTTCCCATGCTGACATCTATTCTCCATAGCCGTAATTAGAGTTCCCTGACACACCATCAAGTAATATTCCTTAACTCTCAGGCCACTAAATGCTAATCAAGGTGGCCAACTGAAACATTCACACCAAACTCCAACAGACAACATTTCTTTCTCCCACCTTAAACAAGATATAAAAACCCAATTTTCCTAGTTTCCAACAGACCTCGCAACCTCTGAGGATGCCTGCCATAGATGCAGGCAAAACGTCAGGAGAGAATGCTAGAACATGGCCATACAGCCCAAAAAACCTACAAAACCCAGTGATTCCTGCCATGAAAGCTTTCGACAATATATTTCCTTAATTAAAGTTTGTATGGATTATCCCCAATTACCAGTTTGTTAATTCAATAAAGACATCCCTAATTACACTTACAAATCCTTCCTTATAACCCTCATTTTGGCAAGGCTTGAAGGTTAAGCCATTAAATCCTGACACATAGAGAGATCAACTCCATCGGCATTATTCACCTCTATTTCTTTACATTATTTCCTTGACTGATAAGGAAAGGATCAGATGAAGAAAAAAAATGATCTTAAGCTTTTAAATTGTCACCTAGGTGGATCCATGTGTTCTAGTCCCACACAGAGACCTTTCTCAGAAGCCATAATTGTGCTTCTGGGAAATGCACAGAAAGGTGTTGCATAGTTGACATTTTAGCTAGTAAAATAACTGGTATGCTGTAACGAGGGCAGATATCAATTCAATTATTACAAAGTTCATACACACTACACATACTGCATATTGATCGCTCCTCATCCTCTACAGGAGAGAAAAAAACCATATAGCTCCTGGACAACATGTATTTTTGAAGCTCCTATCATCTCAATGTCCCTGCCAGAAAAAGGAGAATTGTCATTCTTGGAAGCTACCAGGGGTGGCAATTCTTTTAAAGCAAGGCATTGCCACTCATCTTGTCTTGCCGTAACCCTTCCCTTCACTCAAGAAAAGGCTTTTACAAAGCCCTGAGCAGATTTCAGGCACTGGTTTTATTTATGGGGCTGGCAGGACTACACAGACCCCCTAATCTCCTTGAGTTTTCCCAATCCTACTCTACTGAACAGAAGGAAAATACATGTGCAACATACACATTACATCTGAACAGATGACAACAAAATTTGAATGTCATGCTCTGACTGAAATATACTGGCATGTCAACAATTTTCTGGGAATCTATTCTAATTTTGGACACATATTATTTGTAGTGGGGGAATGGCCAACAGGCAAGATGCCTCCTCCCTCATCACCATCCAATAAATATTGCATAATCTTCTTTAAAAGGAGAAAAGAGGTTACAAAACAACTACACAGCCACTGCAGGGACAGTGAAGTGAATCACTATGAAATCTAATCAACTAGCTCAATTCAAAAAGGCTAAGGCACAGCAAGGGAAGATGGACCCCACACAAGCTATTAGGTAAGACAGACAAAGGAGCCTTTTGTTAAAATTTGGATGTAAATAGGATTGCATAACAAGACATAATCAGTTCACTATTATCCTTTTTTTGTACTCTAGCTTCAAAAACTAACACCAAGTTGGTTGTATCTGGACCAATGTTACAATGAATTATTATCCTATGAATACCTACAACACACACATACACACATGTTCCCTCCTGAACACACACACACACACACTCTCTCTTAAGAAGAAGAAGGAATACCATGAAAGCTGGACTCAAAAAAGATCTCAGCTTTTCCTCTGAAAAAACAAACTTTCAAATAAAATAAATCACCAAAACATTATAGAATCAGAGAGAACAGTTGTATAACTGTTCTAGGTACTGGCATATTGAACTGAATAATGATCTTAATTTTGAAACATGCCCTCTGGTGTTGTACTTTGACTGATCTCTCAGTCATGCATCCCGTCACTTTATTACGTTGTGTCCTGCCAACCAATCCTGTCAGGTCTTAACAAATGCATATCTCCCTTCTATCTGCAACCCTCTTGGCATGAAGGATTGTGCGGATGTTTATCATCACATGGGCACCATTAACCATTTTCAGTTGCACACTTTAATGGGCTCCCTTATTCCTGCTCTACCTGCTCCTTCAGACCAGGCTGGCAGTCAGTCACGTGTGAAAAGTACACCACATGTCTGTTCTGCTAATTTTTTTATATGTAAGACAGAATGGAATAGGAAATGTTGACTAATATGAGGCTGTAGTAAGCACAAAATCTCTCTTCTACTTCTCATCTCAATGTGCATGAAAAATCGCATAAATCAAAGGCAGAATTTTCCTATGCCTATTAACTGTGGAAGTCTGTGACAGTCAGGTTCTCAAACTTGGTCCTCCAAGTGTTTTGGGATTCCCAATTTAGCCAATGGTCAGGGATTCTGGAATCTATAATTAAAAATATCTGGGAGACTAAAGGTTAAGAATAATTGTATTAGGTTGAAGTTAGAATATAAGTAATCACTTTTGAAAACCTTTTAAATAAATTATTACTGTTTTTGAAATGTATAAATAAGTATTGTTACACAGTCAGTTCACACAGACAAAACTATCTTAAATACAAGATTCAGGAAAACAGGGAGTTACTTTCTACAAATAGAAACTAGATCCCTTAATTGATTTTTACTGAAGTTTTAATAATTCATGTTTTAATAGTTTGGTTTTAATTGTCATTGTTTATTTTATGTGGTATAGCATTGACTTGCTGCCTGTTGTAAGGCCACCTTGAGTTCCCATTGGGGTGAGAAAGGCAGGATATAAATATGGCAAATAAATAAATAAAGTACCGACAGGATGAGGCAGCATAACTTTCTTTTTTTAAATGCACACCATTCAGTTGGTTGAAGATGTAGCGGAGCGCTAGTGGTCTCGTTCGAGAGGCGGGAGTATAAAGTTTTGTCCTGACACAGTTCAGTCATTATCATGCGTTGGAACAGTGAGGAGCGTTGAGGCCTACTTTTCAAGTGGATTTGGAGTGGCCGGCCCGCTCTCCAGATTTGGCCCCTTGTGACTTTTTTCTATGGGGTTTTTTGAAATCCCATGTTTATGTGAACCGTCCAAGGACCCTACAAGATTTGAAGACCAACATCCAGGAAGAAATTGCCAACATAACGGCTGCTATGCTGGCAAGCGTCATAACAAACGCCAGAAATCGGTTTACTCAGTGTATGGAGAATGAAGAATAGGGGACGTCACCTATTTAATTTGATCTTCAAAACTACGTAAAACAAAACTTTAGGTATGCGCCTACATTATAAAAAAAAAAAAATTCTGATTCATACAATGGGTTTTATTAAATTTTGAAAAAAGGAAGTTATGCTGCCTCATCCTGTGGTTATTTCTGTCACCATGAAATCATAACTTTAAAAAATTAAAGCTGTGAGATGGAGTGAAGTATACAGTGTTTTTATGATAATATATTCTAAATGGTAAAAATACACTGAGACATCATAGGGTACAGTACTTTGAAGCACCATCTCTAATACAGCATGTGGTTTTTTTTTTCCTTGTGTCAGGAGTGACTTGAGAAATTGAAAGTCACTTCTGGTGTGAGAGAATTGGCCATTTGCAAGGATGTTGCCCAGAGGACGCCCGGATGTTTTGATGTTTTGCCATCCTTGTGGAAGCCTTCTCTCATGTCCTCGCATGAGGAGCTGGAGCTGACAGAGGGAGTTCATCCATGCTTTCCCCAGATTCAAACCTCCGACCTGTCAGTCTTCAGTCCTGCCAGCACAAGAGTTTAACCCACTGCGCCACCATTAGCAGAACATTACTACAATTGCAGTCCAATGTACACTTATCATAGACCTCCCTTCTCGAGTAATGTGGTGTAGTACTTTATTTTTTTAAAAGAAGCAAAGGAAGTTGAAGTTTGGAAATAAAGTAAATATGGCATGTTTCTCAAAGTTTCTGATCTCCCCCACCCCTTGTTTTAAAACATTTAGAGAAAAAAGTTCCTCTCCATGGCTTCAAACTGCCAATTTTTACACTTTATGTCTGACACATTCAACTTCCCTCTTTTGGATGGCGTGTCGAAAATTAAGCCATTGACTCAAAGTTTTCACATGAGACTAAGAAATTGAATTCCTTTTACCTCCCCGCCCCCCAAAGCAGCCTGACCTGCCATTCTGTTACAAACTGACCGTATGCAAAGAGAGCATTCCAAATCTGAGGTACTCAAGAGGTCCCTGAAGTCTGGTTGGACGTCCCAGGTAGACTTCACTCTTGTAGTATCTGTTGTTGCTCCCTCCTCCAAATCTATTTAGCAATAGGAAAGAGCAAGAGAAGGCTTTTGAACATCACACACTGGCCAGATTCTAACTGTATCCCATCTTAATACATGATCTGTGTATTTACACTGCTTTGTACATTACCATTTGAGATACAGACAGATTCAGACAGAAACAAGGTCACAGATCTGGCAGAAGGAATTCATGATGTCTGCATTCACACAGATTAGCACCCTAGGGCCAAAGTGGATTCATGTTATATTATACTTGACTGGCAAGTGAAATTGCATTTTTAAGGGCCACTTAACACTATAAATGTTTTATTTAGTTGTGTGTATCTACAGTTTTCTGTAACACATGGGTCTGTACATGGTAGTCATTCATTCTGGATCTGTAGTAAGCGTAATACAACGACGTACCCTGATTTGCCCCCGCATAATATATGAAATGACCTGAAGAGGCATGCAGAAATGCATGAAAAATACTTAGTAAATTGCCCTCTGAAAACAATGAACAATAAGGGCAACAAGGGTTACTAGTCATCAGAAGTAGATACTACTTTTGGTATTGAAAAAGTTTGCTTCTCCAAACTTTTGGGTGTGGAACACAAGCAGGATGGTACTGTTGCACCCCTGCCCTGCTTCTGAATATATCAAATACATCCAGTTGGCTCCTATGGGAACAGAAAGCTAAAAGTAGGTAGGTTTTTGTATTAACCTAGCACTGCTTTTCTGGGCTTTAGCAACATATTCCACTTGGACCACTTTTACCTGTAGAACATGCCAATAGTTCAAATATATACTGAAGCTCAGAAGGCTGACCCTACTAGGGAAAAAGTAAAGCAAGCTGCTTCAGGTGACACTATGAGACAGAGGAGACAAATAAAAGCAGAAATGGTGCAGAAAGATTTCTCAAAGTATTGGCTCTTGCTGCCAGGGAAAGAAGTTCCACTACTATGGCCATCACTGATACAATACTGGAAATTTAGCATAATGGAAGCAGCAACTAACAAGCACTTCACTGTTTTTATTTTCAAGTTTTAACAATTTTCTTCTTGCTATGAAAAAGCAAAACATATGTGATGCAAAATGTGCATGTGAACAACATTTTCTCCCCAGGAAACAGTCTTTTCTGTTCAAAAATGCTGCTTACTCTAAAGAAAATACATTTTTCTGCATAACACAGCCCCATGCAAGTTTTATGCAGAATACGTTCCAATTGTCACACATTCTTATCAGTGCAGAGTTTCCTAATATTCTGTACTTAATATGCCACAGTTATATGTAATATACCACAATCACATACTGAATTCAGTTCAGTGCAAGAGATCTAAAGAAGAGTCTTCGATGTACTTTTTTCCAAAAATAAAACAGCCTAATTTACACACAATATGATTTATAGACATTTTGTTATGCTCACCTTCTTCCTTCTTTACGGAAAAGCCTGAAATTGAGCTTTTCCTCAGGCATTCTGGCACAGTATATGTTGCCTGGTTGTCACCAGTTCCAAGTTCCTCCAGACAAGTTTCCCTTTTATTCTTCAAATCCTACTTATAAAGAAAATTATTGATGGATTAAACACTGCTTTTCTAGAACATACCGAGATGTAGACAGAATAGGATGGATGGGTGGGAAGAAGGCATGCAAAAAAGACGACATTAATTTTAAAAACTTTGTATATGTACTGCTTCGTGTTGCTTACCTGTAAAGATTCTTCTTCAAAAGGTGCAAGTAACGCCAGCTGTTTTCCTGAGTTAGACCCTTTCAAGCTCTGACTCACATCACTCTTCAGCTCCACTACAGTGCCTGGAAGAGGGGAGGCACCATTTGTGGAAATCTGGGAACAAGAAAATGCATGATTTTATTTTTGATTGAAGAAAGCTGTTAGGTTGATTTGATTTCTAAATAACACGAGAGATGATGACAGCAGTACCTCTCTAACCTCGTCTCTCAGACAAATATTTTAAGCAAATGCAGATTTCATTGAGTTGTAAAACCAAGTTTCAACTTTTTTCACTGAGCAAACCATTCCTGGCAGCTGTTTAACAATAAGACCAATAAAATATGCATGCAAGTAAAACAAAAGGCAACCACAGAAGCTTATTAATATGGACTTATCACAAGCTAGATATAATTTTGTTCAGCAGTAGTAATATGCACTTTTTAAAATATCATGAAAAGACAAGTGCCCACCCCCTAATTCATAACAGTACATTATTTTAAACTGAGTCTGTGAGTTTTGCGACAGATGAAAAAAATACAAACAATATTTGTTTTAAGAAAATTAAACAGATACAACCTACATATACAACACAGGAAAACTCAAGTAAATCAGCTGCAAACCTAGAACAAAGGTCTGTTTAATTTGGGACTGAATGGCCATTGAGCATTTACCCTTTCTATCTCATGCTGAGCAGCATGAAAATTGGAATTCAGTGTAAGACAATGTTGGAACTGCAGCAGAGCTTCAGATTGTTTCCCCATTTCCAGGAGCACCTTCCCCTTCCTTAAAAAGCCCTGCAAAAAAAGCAAACATATTGTTTTCACCAGGGGCTTTAGTTTTCTTCACTTTTCATACTAATGTGAGAAATATTAATGTGTCAAAAGTTCTAGGTTCAATCTCCACCTTTTCCAGCTAGAACTCTGAAAAATTCCTGCCTGAAACTCTAGAGAGATACTTCCAGCGACTGCGGGCAATGCAGAGAAGGATGCAGAGACTTTATCAGTAATTGTTATAGTTCCCAGGTATCCAAAGTGTTCAGTTAGTGCGCTAGGTAGCAGGTATTTTATTTATCCTGTCAGAAGCAAATCAAGGGTACAGTTGTAATACATTTAAAAACACAAACAAAATTTAAAAACTTGATATTATACTAAATGTCTTTTGACCAGTAGCTGGCCACTTGGAGTGCCTCTGGTGTTGCTATAAGAAGGTCTTCCATTGTGCATGTGGCAGGGCTCAGACTGCATTGTAATAAGTGGTCTGTGGTTTGCTCTTCTCCACACTCGCATGTCGTGGACTCCATTTTCTGGCCCCATTTCTTAAGGTTGGCTCTGCACCTTGTGGTCCCAGAGCACAGTCTGTTCAGTGTTTCCAAGTTGCTCAGTCTTCTGTGTGCCCAGGAGGAAGTTTCTCATTCAGTATCAGCCATGGGTCAAGGTGCTAATCAGCTTTTGTATGATATTATTTCTAGCACCCGCTTTTTATTTTTTAATAGTTTGTATTAAGAATTTTTTGATACAATGATAAAAAATAGGTGGGGGGAGAAAGGAGAAATGAAGGGGGGAAATGGGTAGGGTTGAGGGGGTGGTGATAGGGTTAGGGTAAAAAGAGGGAGGAGAAGATCAAACCAGTTCATACTCTAGGAAATTCATAATGTCAAAAAAAATTCTATCCATTCTTCTTTTTGTGATCTCATGTCTTGCATCCATTTTCTCACATACACTATCCTTGCAGCAGTTGTAATATATGTAAATAGTTTGTCTTCATTGGTGTTCCATTGTGTTTTGGTCATTCCTAAAAGAAAGTATTCTGGTTGAAATGAAAGTTTCTTTTTAAAAAAATGTTGGCAGATCTCGTGGATCTCTTTCCAGAAGTGTTTTGCTGCTTCACAAGTCCACCACATGTGTATAAAAGATTCCTCACATTTCCTACCCTTCCAACATTTGTAATTTGTATATTTGGTAAATTTAGCAATCTTCTTTGGTGTCATGTACAACATCTTTGTCCAATTTTCTTTCAGGTCGAATGCATATGTATAATTTATTTTCCTGTTCCAAATTGACTCCCAATCCTGCAGTGGTATGGGCCTTCCTATATCTTTGGCCCATTTCACCATGCAGTGTTTGATTTGTTCTTTCTCTGCATCCTCTTTTTTATTGATAGTCAAGCAGTGCTTCTTGTAAGTCAGAGCACGATCCACAGTAGCTCTCAAGTATTTTGGTATGCTACAATGCTCCAGTGGGATTCCTTCCCAGGTAATCCTCAGAGCTTGAGATGCTTGTCTGTTCTTAAGGTGAAAAGCACACATCTGTGTTTTAGATGGATTAGGAATCAGCTGGTTTTCCCTGTGATAAACAGTAAAAGCACCTGAAGCTTTGGAGAGCTTCTGTACAACCATTTCAAAGCTCCCTGCAGGGGCGGTGATGGCACGATCATCAGCATAGATGAAACTCTGGCAGTGGCTGATTATTTGTGTAAATGTTAAATACTGATGGAGCAAGCACGTTCCTGAGGCAGGCCATTCTTCTGTTTTTGCCGTCTGTTTCTCTGGCCCTGGAATTGAACAGAAAAGCTCCTGTTTTGCAGCAGATTTCCTATGAAATGGGTGAGATGGTAGTCCTTTGTGATATTATAAGTTTTTCTTGGGAGAAGGCAATGATTTACAGTGTCATAGGCTGCTGACAGGTCTATGGAGACAGTTCCTGTAATCTGCTGCCTTTCAAAACCATCTTCTATGTGCCGTGTCAGGTTCCACACTTGTGATGTGCAGCTTTTGCCTTTTCTGTGGTGGCCCCTCGGCTTTGGAACACCCTCCCTGTAGAGATACGATCAGCTTCTTCGCTGATGGTCTTCCGGAAGAGATTAAAAACATGGTTGTGTAAACAAGCATTTAATTAGTTGTCACCACTGAATTTATGGACTAAGGACTGATTAACTATGGATGACGAACTCTGGACTGTGATTTGTGTTATGAGAAGCATGGTGTTATTATTGGTGGCCCAATAATTTGTATTGTTTTTAAGTGTTGCTGTTTTTAAATTGTATATTGTTTTTAACTGTTGTTAAACCGCAATGAGTCGCCATTTCAGGCTGAGATATTAGCGGTATACAAGTGTATTAAATAAATAAATAAATAAATTTTCTGAAGCTAATTTGCTGTGGAATCATAAATGGGTCTATTTTTTCCATAATTCTATGCAAAAAGTCTCTCCAGAACTTTGTAAAGATGGAATTTGTAAAGACATCAGTATTCAATGGCAAAAAAGGCGCAAGACCTTGTCAAACTACACCCCCCAGGATGCCATAGCATTGAACCAAGACAATTAAAGTGGATTTATTCTATAGCAAGGTTGTCTTTTCCATCACTGGTAGCTTTGGTATTCTAATAATTGTTTTCAAAGAAGAAATTCTAAGCAGGCTGCAACTGTATTGCATACCTTTTTTGGCCAAATTACAAAGAGTACACTTTTTGCCACTCCACATTGTATTCAGCAGCAAATACTTTTTTGGTTTCAGGGTTTTGAAAATTGAAGTGCACATCAGATTTGATGGTGCATTAGACTCAAGTAAACACAAGCAAGACTCCCAATTTTAATACACATGAATAACCTCTTGGTGACATTCTATCAGATAGAGCAAACAGAGAAACCCATTTTCAAGTACCAAATTCCTCATTCTTTGTACCAGTGGCATTTCCCCCATCATTTTACAGCAACTGTGTGGGGTTGTTTATTGCTCCTTTCCTTGCAGGCATTTGAAATTCTCTCCTGAGATTCCCATTTTTAAAAACCATTATAAAGAGAAACAATCAAATCAAGGACATCCACCTGAGTTTATGCTATTAATTCCTATATGCTCACAACACAAACTGGGGATTATCTTTCTAGCCTTTTCATATATTTCCTGTTTTACTAATTTGCTGACACAAAAAGAATGAGATAGATAGAGTAAAAGACTGTGTAAGACAGGAAGGCGGACAAGTTGGGACTATTTTTTTTAACCTAATGAAATTGTTAAGGCACAGCAAGCTTAATGAGAACTGACAGATGAACCAATTAGCTTAAAGCTATGTTTATATTCTATACCTGAAACCAAACCCTTCATTGATGGATTTGGTTAGTGTGTTTCCTCAACAAGATCCACCCAACAAAATCATCAGGACAACGTCCAAGTTTAGGATTACCAGAGAACAGCTGATCCACTGCTACAGGGCAAAGTACTGCTGTTCAAGAAGGAGCTTCCCTGTACTGAATGAACACAGTTGCTCCTGATCTTCTGTGCCAGAACTCTACTTCCTTTTGGATATCCTCTGGCAATTTGTAAGACAACAGAGAGGAGGGATTCTTTGGATGACATACTTTATATGATCATGTATAAGTCTACAAATCAGAGACAAAAAATGGATCTAGGAAGCCTGCACTTCTCCATGGGTCAATGTAAATACTGTATCTTAACTGTTATCAAAAATAGGAATGGTCTACTTCTCTGAGATGAGTAGCAAAATGTGAGAGCTTAGCCTAGAAGAACCTAAAATATTGCTTCCAATATTGCGTCCGCTAAGAACCGTCCAGCTGAGCTCTTTCGAGTTGTCAGAGGCCTGTTAAATCCCACCGTTCTGGATGGGAACCCTGACAACTCGACAGCTCGCTGTGAAGTATTTGTCCAGTTCTTTGCAGACAAAGTTGCTTTGATCCGTTCCGACTTGGACACCATGTTAACGGCAGTCTCTGAGGATGTAACACGAGCACCTGCTTGTCCCATTTTGATGGATTCATTTCAATTGGTGAAACCCGAGGATGTGGACATGATACTTAGAGGAATGAGGCCAACCATGTGCATCCTAGACCCCTGTCCATCCTGGTGTCTAAAGGAGGCCAGAGGGGGATTGGCCAAGTGGGTGAAGGTGGTGGTGCTCAATCTCAATTTCTAAATATTGATGTTTCATAATCTTTTGTGTCCTCCTTTCTTCCATTCTGATATCCAGCAACACCAGCTATTCTTGGTTCTGTACTTCAAATCCTAGGAGTCTCAGCCAGTATGGATTTTTATTTATTTGTAGTCTTTATACCTAGTTCTTTAGCATGAAAGCAACTTTCAGGACACAGACTCTGCAGACTCATAATCTGAGTCTGCAGACTCATAATCTGAAATTTAAGGCATGACACTGAAGTAGTAAGTGATGGAAAGGGAGAAGGGGGAAAATAAATTCAGTGCTTATACTTTTTTAATATAGCAAAATGCTATTGGGCTTATAAATTCCATTCTTAAATTCAACAAGATAGCATGGATGATATATATGATTCAAATATCTGTTTTTGTTGGTGGGAGAAAGAAACTAAGGTATTTTCTTTTTCAGTTACTTCCTTTCTTCATATCTGTATTGTGTCTCAACAAATCAGGTAGTCCAAAAATTATCTGTCTCCATCTGAAACGTGTTTTCCTGGAACATGTAGGTTTGTTCCAGACTTGTCATTTGCTTCAAGTTGTCATTCACTGGTTGCTCAATCCAACTGTGAATTGCAGAAAAAGAGCTCTTGTGCAATTAGAAATTGGAAGAGAGGTTTCTCAACAGCACTTGCATGCAGCAGTTGGCAGCAACGGCAAGCCCAAAGTTTTCTCCAATCTTTCATTACAGAAGACTCTCATACACACATCAATAGGTACAAAGGAACATTTTAGGGAATCATTTCATGGACCTTAAAAAAAGAGGGGAAATAACAAGAAAACCTTGGAACCTTGAAACCAAAGATATCACCCAATGAAACTCAAACCCTCACAATTGAGACAGAAGGATAATTTCTTTATGTTAGTTTAAGAGGTTTTATAGTTTAAACACTATTGATTTGTGGAGAAAGCTATCTGAAAACTTGGCTCTTCTGATGTGCCTTTGGAGAGTGACCACAAATCTCATTTCTGTCTGTTCTATCCACAGTGTTGTCCTCATGATGCACTTTCCCCCATCCTAAATGAAGGCCCAATCTCACTGTTTGTCCTTTCTGGACTCCTCCCTCACAAATACACTTTTTACTCCTATCTCATCCAGGATTTTATCATTTTGTCCTGTGCATTTGGCCCGCCCATTGTGTTTGACTTGTTATTTTTGTTGTTTTGCACTATTTATTTTATCTTATTTATCTTATTGTGTTTTATTGTGTTTTTATATTTTTTTTATTTTGCTTTATTGCATCTTCAGGCTTGGTCTCATGTTAGTCACCTCGAGTCCCCTCTGGGAAGATGAAGGAGGGGTATAAATAAAGTTTATTTATTATTATTATTATTATTATTATTATTATTATCAATTAATTAATTAAGTGAATAACTTCTCCAGATATAATAACCTGATAGGTTGGGGACAGTATTTCACACATCCAATCTTTGACAAACCCCAGTTCCATCTCATACTTTAGGTATTAACTGGTAAAAATAAGAATTTCCCCTGCATCACAATGTAAGTGCTGCACACTCACCTCACACATTTCTGGCTCTTGCCTGCATAGCACCTCTAAATCTTCCAAAGCCTCTGGGTATTGCTGTAAAGCTACATAGGCCTCTGATCGCCACAGCCTTAGCACGGGGTCATCTACATCTACAGAAAGAAATAGAAAGCATCAGAACCATGGTTCAAAAATCAGTAACACATAAAACATGTAAGCCTAGCAATATTATTTGTTTTGACTAGAGTGGATCCCGCTCTGAAGAGAAAAACAGACACCAGGAGCAGAATTATGTGGTATGATGACCCAGCCTGGTATTGAGAGCAGTGGCACTGACAACAGAGTACCTATGATTTTGGAAATATTGGCTGAAATCCTGTTGGTTAGTCATAACTAGAGAAGACCCATTCATTGGTAAGTCAATGGGATTTACATTGGTAAATTCAATTAATTCAATGGATCAATTTTAGGGAAGACTACTAACAGAATGAAGGCTGTTGTATTTTTAAACTACCTGGTTGGTGGCAAGGGAAGCTATAGGATGCTTGGAGTTATAATCCAAACAGAAATTCTTCCAACCCCTACCTATGCAAAAATACACATATAACAGAAGCCATTAATTGGGGCATGCCCCTGGAACACACTAGGCCCCATCTTCACTGACCATATAATACATTTAGAAGCTAGCTTCAAACAGAAGCAGTCAGACAACAAACTTCCACAAAAGTGTGCGAAAGAAAGCCCTTAATGCACCTCATGGGTCTGTGGTTTATATAATCACCATCAGGGTCTCAAACTGGTTCCAGGATTTCTTATGTAATCATCTGCATAACTAAACCCCTTTTTCAATACCATATGAAATTGCATTAAATGGTCAGTATAGATGGAGTCTACATGTTGTGCTATAGCTTCTGTTTATCATTTTTAAGAGAAGATTCAATGAAATAAAATGGCATAAAATAGGATTTTCCTTCTGTGTGTATTCTTGTTCATTTCCATGGCAGTACCTCTACCCAGAATTTAATTACTGGTTGATTATTTATCTATTTGGTTTATTACTTATTTATACAATTAACATCCTGCCTTTCTACTACCAAAGGATCCAAGTCAGCTTACAAATTTAAATGTGAACATGACTGTCTTGAGTTCAGTCCAGAAATTCACTGGGTGACCCTGTAATTCGGACCTATCTCACAACAAAGCTGGGAAGACCAGAAAATGCTGAGATGCAATTATGCCACCTTGAGTGCATTAAAGGAAATAAATGTGAATTGTAAAGGCAAACCCAGTAGGCTCTACAAAGAACTATGCAAAGATGCAAAGAACTTTGCTCCTAAACCAATTAAAAATCCTAACATCTCCAGAATCCATGCAACATAATTGCAGGTTCCTTCCAGTATCCCACTGCAGGATCTTACTGCACAAGTAGCTGACATATGATCATTTTAAAAAGAAAATCCTTAAGATGTGGTAGGAAGGAAGCTAGGTGATAAGTTCAGCACTTGGAATCTCAAGACTATACATGGAACAGCCCTAATTAATTCAAAATGCAAATTAAAGGTATATAACTAATTCATTTCTGTGGTTATATACATATTCTCTGTTGCTTGGGTGATTTAATGTACTACCTACATTATTTAAATGTTACCTCCTGCCATTTTTAAAATTGTTTCCAGTTTGTCTGGCTTGTTTTTCATACATTTGTTTTTCATTTGTTTTAAAGTCGTCTCCCCAGGGTTCTCCCTGGAAGGTAGAATATGAATGCATTACATATTTTACCATTTAAAATACACCAGCTCTGCCCATGGTACTTTTCTGATCATTAAGCTTTCAAATAGCTCCACAGGAAGGTTAATAATACAATCCTTTGCTGTGTACTCAAATAAGTTCCCCTGAGTACAATGGGGCTTACTCACAGGTTAACGTTTAGGAGTAGAACTTACATGATTCTACATGGTGTACTTGTGGTAATCAAGACAGAAATGACTATGGTATAAACAAGTAAGACTCAGTGAGTTTTACAGAATGGGTTATATACAATGGTAATACACAATACATAACCTTTTATTTCTGTAACTATTAAGTGACCCTGCAATTTGATGTTGCAATGTGGAGTCCTTTCTATTCAGTATGGGTACCCTTTCGTCTTTGATTTTTTTCCCCTTCTCAACCATTACCAGCACCCTGTGTTCTCTGAGCTTCATGGTTGTTATGTGCTTTCAGGTCCACACATACATCCCTATCATTGGGGTTTCTTGCCAGTCCTCACAGGGCTATTCACAGGAAAGAGTGATATTTTAAATTAGAGCTTTTGCTTCTGCAAATCCCAGGCTTTTTCTAAGGCCTCATCTACATGGACCATTTAATGCAGTTTTAAACCAGCATTGTAGAAAGTGGTTTTGTGGTGTAGGTGATTGTATAGGAAATCCTGGAACCAATTTGAGACCTGGGTGTGATTACACAAACCACAGATGTGCCTTAAGGGCTTTCCTTTGCACTCTTTAGTGGAAGTTCATTGTTTGACCACAGCAGTTTGAAGCTAGCTAGCTAGCTTCAAACTGCATTACATGGCCAGTGTATATGGGCCTAAGTATCTGTTATTCCAAATGGAAAAGACGCTATCATAAGGCACCAGCAATACTTCACCTGTGCATAAGGGATGCTGTTTAGGCCAAGTAAAGATAATAATTCAGGGAATTCTGATTGCTAGAAGGATCCCCATCATGATTCAGATTGATTCAGATTGGTGATTCAGATTGAGGTCACATTTGTTTCAGACAGATTTGAATCCAAATCAAGATTCAGACATCTCACATTAACCTGTGCTGAAAAACCAGAACAGCAACAGTACTTCAGTTTTTATTGAGAAGGGGCATAATAATAATCATTACATAACAGTTGCAGTCCCATTTTTGAGGTCCTAGTTTCAGTATTTCTGTTTTCCTCGCATAATAGTTGCACCCTTGATTTACCAGTGTAAACCTCCATCTGCTCAACCATTCACATAACCGCACAAAGACACACTTGCCTGCTTCAATCACACCCCCATCCGCTTGCCCATCCATTCCCCTGTCCAAAGACCAACCAAATCACACAAGCACTCTCTTATTTGCCTATTCATTTGCTGACCATTGCTTTGCAAGAATGCCACTTCGCATTTGGGGGGGGGGGGGTCAGTAAATGGATGGGCAACCAAGTGATTGTGTGAGAAAGTGTGTGCAAGAGTGTATGGGTGAGTGATTGGGAGGGTGGTGAGAACCGTTGCACTCATGCACACACTTCAGTCACCCTCCTAAAGTCAGTGGAAGAGAGGTTGGAAATGATGTGCACATGGGTCATTAAGAGTTAGAGCCTTATCATGGATGACATTGTTGTGAAAAGCTTTAAAAGAGCTGGCATTTCTAATGCATTGAATGGATCAGAAGATGATGCACCGAGGGAGAATGATAGAGAGGAAAAAACATTTGCCATGAGCAGTGCTGAAAACAGCACTTCAGATTCTAACAACAATGACAGTGGTGTGGAGTCATCTGACAAAAAAGATTAAAATGTTTAACTATGTAAATTTGTTTCCTGAGCACTCCTGTAATCAAGTTGTTTTCAACATCACTTTATTTTAAAAAAAAATACTGTTTCAGAAGAAAAAAATGTGGTTTTTTCTCTTGCATAATAGTCACACACCCTTGTCATTTTAATTATCTGCATTTAATTTAATATGTATTTGTATTTCACTTTTTATTTTATGGCATCAAATGGCCACCATTTATGTTATAAGCTGCCCTGACTCCCCAAAGGGAGATGAGACTGGGTATAAAAAAAGTTGACTTGACTTGACTTTTTAAAAAAGTGTTACTATTAGGTGATGAAATACACGGTCAAAGCTTGCATCCCCAAAATATTTGTGAAACTGTGAAACATGCTTTTTTACACTTTTGTGCAAAAGCCCCTAAGAATATCTCCTAAATTTAAAGTACAGCTACACTAAAAATTAGAATTAAACAACGGAGACAATAAAATTAGATAAAGTCTAGTCAACTCTGCACATTCACAGGGGTTAGGGGAACAGGACTCCCCTGAAAGTTAAAAAAACCCACAAAGACACAGCTTTTTTTAACCTGAAAGAATGCCTCTCTAGAAATTTCTTGGTCTTCCAACAGGACTCTATGGTTAACTTCTGCTAGAAAATGACCACAGAATTGCACTTGAAAACCTAGAGAAACCTAGGGAAGTGTTCTCTAGATCTTCCAGCATAACAACAGGCTGCTTAATGATAGAGCCACACTGGAAGATCTAGAGATTCCCAAAGAAAACATTTTCATAAAATCTGTGAGAAATCAAATCCACAGAAGTCAAAACCACAAATGTAGAGGGAATGTGTAGTCCTGCACTGAGAACCAATGTGGTGGACACTGTGTGGTCAGGCAGGCAGAAAACTGCTGCAACCCTCTAAAGCAGTAGTGTCAAACTTGTGGCACTCCAAGTGTTTTCAACTTCTGCTCTCAGAATTCCTTGGCATTAGACAAGTTACCTAGGGCTTCTGGGAGCTGGAGGTCCAAACACTTCTGCTCTAAAGCTACGAAAAGAACAGACCACTGCAGAAAAATAAGTGACCACATGCACTTTAGCAACCTTCTCACCCCCTGTTCCATCACTGAAGAGTATCAGGAAGATTCTGACCTAGGCTACAAACTAGAGCAAAGACCCAGCAAAATTAAAGGTCCCTTCATCTCCATCACCCTCCATCTCCTCTCAAACTTTCACAGGTAAGGCATTTCCTTTTTTAATGTACCATGGAATTCATCCAAGTTGCTTTGGACTAAACATATCTGCTCCAGGTCCAAACTATTTGGAAGAGGTCCAGATAGATTCGAAGTGGACCAATTTTCTCTGGAATTCAGCAGTGTAGGAACATGAACCACAACTAGTAGCTCACACGATAGCACTGGTATCCCACTAGGATAAGAGGATAACCAGCTCGAATAAAAGATCATGATCTACATCATTCAGCACCTTCTTTAACCAAAGCAATTAAACTTCACTTAGAATAAAATATTCCTCATACCTTTCCTTTTGTACTGATTCATGCCAATTTTCTTCCTTTCCCCCCAAACCCTGACTTATGCAACATGGTGTTGTGCAGTTCAGCAGAATC